AATTTCCCCGTAAAAAAAAAAGGGCAAAAAAAATAAAAAGCTCACCCAAAAAAAAAAAAAAAAAAAAAAAAAAAGAGAGAGAGAGAGAGAAAAGATGACTCAAAAGCGAGATAAAAGAACCAGATTGCTTCTATCACGATGGCCTATTATACCTCCCATACATTTAAATATTTCCTTTTTTTGTTTTTGTTAAAGCAACTAAGTTTCAAAACCATTTACATCTACATGTATATAATTACCATTTCACAAATTCACTTTTTATACTGCCCTCCACTCTTCATTTTCACATCATTTACAGCATTTAACTAAAAGACAAGTGTGAGCCAAGAGAAAGATAAATGTCACCAGAATTTTCAGATCAAATGACAGGTAAATCTATATTCAGGTATAAGATTATATATAGGACAAGAAAATTATTGAAATTCCCAAGAAAATTGAATTTTTGGAAAAAGGGTTGAAATTTCCACAAAAATTGATGACCAAACTACCAATTTCACACTACTAGTGTACTAGTATGGATTCCAATTTTTTTTTTTTTTTTTTTTTGCGCTTAGTTTCAACTTAAGATGAGTCAGCAGTCATGCTATGACGAGGACTACTTCAAGGTGCTTTTACATTTCAGTCTGACCCACCCCTTTTCTATCAACCAATCCTTGCAGGTTGTCCAATAATGACAAGTTTATCAGCTGTAAATGCGCCTTTTCACTTTGAATGGAGCCTAAAACACCTTGAGTTTATAGACTGAGTATAGCTTGGACCAGAAATCTGGCCATCTGATGATACATTTGATTTTTTTCCTCTCATGTTCTTGTGGTAATAAAAATCAGGTATGTTCGTTAACAAAGCATCCATCAGCCAGATTTGTGTAATAATGGTTCCTGTGTATCAACATTGATTTCCATCACTGTAAAGTTCAAAGAAATGGCAAGGTCGAGTTCTGTTCATGTTTTATTTGTAGATGGGAGGTTATTCTCCAAGTGCACACAAAGTTGAAAGCATAGGATTATTGCCTTGTGTCCTCTGGGAAGAAAACCTTGGTGTTCCCAAGCATGCAAATCTTAATATTATTATTCGTGTGAACTCCATTTGAGACCAACCTGATTGAAAAAATGCTTGGATAAGTGCTAGTGCTAAAATAAATAAATAAATAAATAAATAAATAAATAAATAAATAAACTATTAGCCAAGTATGACCTAGAAATTAACACTTTTCTTCTTCTACTATATTTTGCAATACATTTTTTTTAAATCCGTCTTAAAATGCTACTTTGAACATGAGTGGAATTCAATGTTTTAACCTTGCATGTGTACTGCAAACACCCCATTGGTGATAAGGTGAGGGTTTTCCTTCATTGTACCTATGCAGGTGCTTTATTTCATAGAACTAGAACATTAATTAAAGCAATAAGGTGTATAACAAGCCATGCTTATGTTTTTTTTTATCCATATCAAATGTAGGAGTACAGACTTGGAGATAAATCAGCATAGATGTTATGTAAAACAGACTAATCTGGGTTTGTCCTTGTATATATTACATTTCAACCATATGTAAGAATTGTACCCAATTGAGCTAAATTTTAATAATGTTACATAAAATCCTATTTAACAAATGTGACAAAGATTTAAATTCACAGATTCAGATGCTTTTAATCTAATGAACTTCATATTCAATTAAAAAAATTAAAATTGATGGATAAAAATAGCATCTCTTTACTGGGCCTTGTTGGATTTTTATTTCAAGTTTTGAACTTGATAACCTGAAAAAAATCTCCGCAAGCAGGCATAAGTAGGTCAGTGATTTAGCTCTACTTATCTTTGAACAGTATATTTCAGTCCACAGCTCTAATAGTAACAATGAACTTTTTAATCATCACCAATTGATTTTCACGTTTTTAATGAGCCACCTAGCAAATTAAATCATATGTTATACTCTATATTTTTTAACAGCTATAATAAGCCCATCAATATTACATTTTTTTTGTTTATGACATTCGAGTTATTGTATTGACTGGTCTGTAGATAAGAAGTCCTAATATGCTTGAAGATGGAAAAGATTAGATATTATCATATAAAATTTTTCTTCATCATGCTAGCCAATGACATTCACTTGTCAAAGTTGGTGAAAAAATGGCATTAAATAAAAAATTGAAAATGGGACACGGCTGATAAATTATTAGACAAAAACAAAAAAAAACAGACACGGTGCTGGCTAATATCCAAGACTGATCACCAAGATAGATCTGCAACAAGGCTTGTCCAGTTAACAAATGAAAAGTTTCAACAGTGACAAAAATGATGAAAATCATTTAAAAACTTTTTGCACTCCTAATTTTTTTTTTTTTTTGATTTCTTGAGTTTGTGAAAAGAAGCAGTAAATAGTTGACTCTAAAACACTGGACTAATTAATATGTATGAGGTCTTTATTTACAAAGAGGTGTACATTACATTATGTTTGGAATTATTTCTTTCCATAACAAATAAAACATAGATTCTGAGTTCATTTGGCACAGAATGTAATCATATTATTAGCTCTAGAAAAAAGTGTGAATTAAATCAATTTCATCAAATCTGTTACATGCAGGGTTGCTTATATTGAAGAAAAGCTGTAGTCATATTACCAGTCAAGTGACATCTAAAGACAATGAGCATCGATTGAAAAAAAGAATAGGACACACTCACTGAGTGAATCTGGCAAAACCCTATGTATGCACATCACAGAATGACATATTGATAATTCATTCCAAATATAATTTTTATTCATAAAAGTATACTACATGCATTTGCCAGCATTCTGGTGAAAAAAAACATTGCCAAATGCCATATAAAAACAGAAAATGTATAAAAAAAGAGAAGTCTGTGTGTTTTTGACCTTAGTTCACATTCATTTGCCCTTAATCTTCTTCCTGTTTGCGTCGGTAATCGAAACTAGGTCAGTTCATCTGAACACAATATGCGAAAGGGTCACAGCGTTACTACCCGCCTCCGAATTAATTTGCGTCGACTCAAATACCAAGTTTACCCTCCTTAAAACATATCTAAGTGTAAAATCCAACCTTCTTAGTTGATAAACTGACGTAAACTTGGCACATTTAAGTCTCGTCAGAAGCGCGCTGTGCGATATGACACGACTGTTTGACCAGGCATAGAGATGGAGTGGAAAGGGAAAAGGTCATCGCGAGTCCATGTGCTGTTTGCTCAACCGACTGCCCAACGTCTAGAGTAGACTGAAAACATTACTCGATCACCCTGTCATCTTTCGGCGATGAAAGAATGGAGGAAAGTCTTTGATTTTACGCTGAAATTTTCGTCGAAAATATGAAATGTGGAATTCTGCGCGTAGGTTTGACCCAGACTTACCCTCCGATTTCAAGCAATGGCGATGAAACCAAAACAACCTTGATCAAACTGCTCGTCTGGTGGTAAAATTAGGCACCCGCCGCCATCGTTACTCTTCGTGACCAAGTTTATATAACCACAGATGACGAAAAGGAAAATAAAATAGTTAAACATGGCATACTTACCGATTCCTGCGGCTTTTTCGACATAAAATCTTGCAGGCAACTGCAGACACACAACACAAAGGTCATAGTTCGTGACCTCGAAGCGGGGAACCTGAGCCTTGGTCAAATCTGATTGGTTGATATTGACGTCATTAGCAAATCTCGGACACGTACGCGAGACTTTGAAGATTGTGTTTGTTGGGAAATATGGATCACCTCAGTGCAATGTGAATGNAGATCACCTCAGTGCAATTGAATGTCCGTGTCTAATATTTTTTGCTTCATGGAAATATCCTTAGATAAATTCGGATATATAATATGAGACGTTTAAACCGTATGGTTCTACATGGAGTTCCAATGAGCACGTTACGTTCAGTATCAAAGGCAGAGTTTCAGGAAAACATTTCCCCCCTGGATAATTTTTTTAACCAGACTCCAGATCGAGTGTTTTGAATATCCAAAAGATGGAAAATGTATTATTTGTTGCTAGGACCGACAGAAATTGTTTCTTTTCTTTTTTCCTTGGTTAATTGAATTTAAATAGAATTATAACGTCATGCTGAATCATTTTCATTCAAAACTTGGCAAAGACAACCGTCCGTTGTTATAATTTCAATGCACTGAATATGTGGGAAAATTAATAAACGCTAAGAGATCAGTCAAACATCTTGTTGTCGTATGAGTGAATGCATTCTGGACAAAAGAGAAGCTTTAAGAAAATGCTGCATCAAATCCATGGAAGAGAAGGCACCTGCTTGTCTTGGCTAGGCGGAAGTAAAGGTCAGAGGTCAACAGGGATATGACAGCGTGCTTTACAGATTCTCTTATCTGACTGATCGTAGATGTTGTCAGGGTAGCCAAAAGGAAAACGGCTCCAAGGTAAGATGCACGCACAGTATTTGTTGGCGTAGGTATGCCGCATTTTTGGTATACCCTTTGCACATAGTTAAAAGTTTAAAACAACTGTGCTGAAATTGATGTAAGTGGTGGGAAGTTATTTGAAAACCCTGGGTTAAATTTCACCTTACCACTTTCACAGCAGCCCAATGCTAATTGAAAGTGGAACCAACAATATGTTATCGGCCTACGTATATTTTTTACATTGAGATCAGAGCGGTATTAGAGGGTGTATTTTACTGTTAATTCTCCAATTGAAGCACTAGCTTGGGAAGGACCATTTGAGTTACTGTTAATTATGCTTTGGTCTTTGTCAATGTTGTCACTTCCCATTTGTATATTAATATTGTTCAGAAATTCAACAATCCACCAAAGTGTTTAAAGTGCATTGGCAAATGTATTTGATGAAGTCGGGCTATATGGTAGGTACTTTGTGGGTAGATTTTGGCTTGGTAAGACACAGAGCAGGACCGTGAAATTTTATGTTGTTGGCATGAATTAGCACACTAAAATAAAGTGGTTTCCCAGCTGTTGGCACATGCAACATACAAGTAATTTAAAAATCTATCTCATAAAAAAGGGAGTTAAATGTTTATTTAATCTACAGAGCTGCAGTGATTTATAGAAATTAAGTGGAAATGGTTTCATAATGTATATAGTTATTACCCAAGCCAGCTATAAATCTCCTGCTCTGATTGAGGTACCAAAGTCACATGCAAGTTATAACTATAAAAGCCGAGGCTGTAGGTAAGTCACATTAAGCTGGGAGACATTCATACTCAAGGTTTGCCAGAAATTGGAAAGTTTTAAAAAGTAAAGACAAGTAGTTAAGAACTAAAAATGATAAAAATGATGAAGATGTGAATACTAGTGATGGTAATTAAAATATTTATAAAATAAACTAACCACGATCTTTTGCCTGTTAAAATACTAATTTTGTATAATTGATTAGACTCTATACAGTTTATCCACAAGGAAATGTGAAGGAGGCAAAGCATTTATCATTTGGCTCCTCCCTGCTGTGAAGCAAACTTTTGTATGTACTATTCCAATTTTGTTTTTTTGTTTTATATTTTGCATTACAGTAGAGCATAACAAAAACTCTGTCCGCCTTTCACTAACTCTGTCCACCCTTTTACCAAGGGGCGTGAGCCTGATCTGCATATGTTAACATGATGAAATAGAGTATTAAGCCCTCTGTGTGGTTTTCATATTTAAAGATTCCTAAATGAAATCTGAATTATTAATTATAAATATAAAAATCAACTTTTCACTCGAAATTAAAATCTAGCCCTTGCCATTTTATAAAAAAAAAAAGAGTCAAAATTTTTGCTATAACATTAACAGGCCTTGAATATTATGTACTGTGGTGAATGTTTTCCATACTAGTATATGATGTGGGATTGTTTACTCTTTTAAGTAGGAATTTTTTTTCTTATTTACTTGTTATTTATAACTTTCATTTGTGGTTGTTAGAGGTTCACTAACTCAGATTTATTACAGTAGTACAAGGGTGCCTGGTGGGTCCCAAGATATTTTCTGACAGCCTTTCAAATTAACTTTGTTGATCCATCCTCCATTTTTGACTGTCTTCTGACAGAAAAAAATTATGGTAGATGCCCATCAATGTAAACTTGAAAAATTCAGACCGCCTTCTAGAAGATCTAGAGTATGACTTCTGTCTGCCCTGTAGCATAAAGTATGTTTGATGAGCATACATAAGGCCATCCTTAGCCTGTCTTAGATGAATTATAGAGTAAGGTTCAGACAGGGCGATTACATAAGCTCTTTTTCAGACTGACTAAGGCATACTATAGAATTAGGTGCAGACATCGCGAGTACTGAAGTCCTTTCTTATACTTATTAACCTGGAATACATTATTTCAGTCAGTGTACTTTTTTGTTTATTCTAAGATCATTTCTAAAACTATTTTCCGATATAGGAATGCAGCTGTTCTTTGTTGTCATAATTGTCATGACAGCAGTTAATTTTGTTTCAATTTGAAGGTCATTCTAAAAATTATTTTCAGACATGGGAGTGCAGCTGTTCCTCTTTGTCTTTGTTGTCATGACAATAGTTTCCCGGACAACAGTTTCCCAGACAACAAAAGACACTTGGAGTTGGCTAAATCTGCCAGAGGAACACATTCCATATTATTTTAGAAACAATCCAAAACTCGGTGAACAGTGCAGCAAGGATGAAGGTTGCCCTTACAAGGTATTATAGCTTGTTTTATTTTTAATAAGTTTGTTGATCTCATTTTTCTAGCTTACTTAAAGTTAATTAAAACGAATTGCAGGGAAAATCGGAAATGTGTATATGAAAATATTAAACATTTTGCTTTCTCACAAATTTATCATGAATTTAATTCTGATTGGGATAAAATTATTCAGCCATTTGGTTAAACTTCAAGTAATTTCATCCTGTAGTTCAGGCCAAGAATTTATATTGGACATGCAATACAATATACAAAGAATGAGATATCTACATCACTCTCGGGCTATCTGTAGTTATTTTGATTAAATTTTTACTGTATTATTTTTAATTATTTTTCATCAGATTAACCTTAAAATGGTGATTATAAATAAAACATTTAAAATGCTGTACAGGATATTCAGGATATTCCACCATAGTAAATTATCTATTGACTATATTTGATAGATCTATGGACTAGTCAGTCCTTTGTTGTAAGTGCGGCCTAAGGAACTTGGACAACTAACAGTAAACTCAGATTTTATACAAATGTATACTAATTATTCAATATGAGTATTCAAATTAATGTTTTTCGCACATATTCAGTCATGCTGGTAGATTTGCTGTAGGTAAATGTAGGTAATATGCAAAAATATTTCTTCGTGAGTTGAATAAAAAATAGATGCATGTAGCCAGTATGTTAGTGTCTATACTTAGAGTTTGAATTAGGATTCCTTTTGTATACATTGGTTAGTGTTTTGTTCATAACTCATTCATTCATTCATTTATTTATTCATTTTCTCCCTTATTGGTTCATTTTGTTATTCATTCATTTATTTACACATTGAACCCTTTGCTTGAATGATTAATTGCTTGAATGATTCTTTCTTTCTTTTTTTCATACTTTCTGTTCGTAATTCTAATTCTTAATCCATCCAGTGAGCCATTTAGTTTCTCATTATGCATTCACTAATTCAATCTGTTTCTGTAACATGGCTTGTCATTCCAGGATCTACTGGGGGTGAAGAAATGTTGGGGATATGAGAAGTTGTGTCAAGAGACAGAGAGGATGTCCAACCCGGAGTGTCCAGGAGAGGCACCTGGATGGTCAGTCCAATGGTCATTTTACTGCCCTGGGGCCGGTTTCACAAAGCAGTAGTTAGTTAGAACAACTAACTACTGAACTACCTCGCTAACGAGCAAACTTAGCGATTTTCGAGGGGTGTTTCACGAAGCAGTAGTTAACTCATCGCTAAGTTCAGTCGTAAAGTTCGGTCGTTAGTTCTCTCGTTACTCACCGTAGTCTCGAAACAGTCTACCGGAAGTGGAACTCTTGCGTAAAAGTGTCGCGAAAGCACTAACTCTCCAATTTCCGGCGGCTGGAAATGCATAAGAACGTCTGCTTTGAGGTCGTCGTAAAGGATCTCCACCACCTTTTTGCCGCTCTTTTTGTCACAGCTAGGCGCAACCTCTCGTAAATTGCATCATCGCGTGTATATTCTAATAGATTCTGCCTTTCATGAAAACGTCGTAGTCTACGTTGCCGTCTGGCGGTACGGATAGCAAAAAAAGGTCGTCGCCATATTGGATACAAAGACAAACGACAGACAACGGTAACTAAGCAACCTTTCTATTTCACTCATTACGCATGCGTACCATGAAACTCTAGAGTTAGCGACTGGTCTGACCAGTCGCTAAATATCCATGGTAACAACGTCACAATAAAGAGCGAGAGAACTAGCGACTGCTTCGTGAAACGGCACTATAACTAGCAAGAGGCTAACTACCGATCGCTAACTAACTACTGCTTTGTGAAACCGGCCCCAGTAGTCTGTTAATGAAAATATGGTGGCTAGGAGCGTGAATCGTGATGCCAGTTTTTTTGGTTAAAAAGATTTACTCCAACAAAAAATAATGAGACGGTCAAGTGCCCATTTTACTGGCAATAAAGAGAACTGTTGCCATATATAGTTACTGTATTTTTCTTAACTAATAAAGAGAATTGACCTCAGCAGAAAACAAAGAAAAAGTTAAATGTTGGATTGGCAAGTGATTAGTTATTTGATCCAAAAAACTTAAGTTTAGACTGTCCAGTTTTTCACATTTTCATCAAGATGTTACTTGTACAGTGCTTGGGAAAGGAAAGTAATGAATATAAAATTAGATTTAGTAATGTTGCAAAAACTTGAATAAATACTTGGTGTACAGTAGCCGCCTGTGGAAAGTAGTATTTGACTGACATATTTTCTGTGCTTGTTTCATTTAATAGTTTCAAGAAACATAATTGATTTTAAACATATATGTATTTTAAGGATACGTCGAAAAGAAGACCAACTGAGTAATTTCTGGAAGCAGGCAGATTTTGGTTATGTTAAGGAAAGACTAGATGAAATGAAAACATTGTGCGAACCACAAAAGAAGGTATGTACAAGAGCATTTTTCTTCACATTTTGTCAATTTTTGTTTTTACACACACACACACACACACACACACACACACACACACACACACACACACTCTTCAATTCACTTGCAAAGACTTATTTTTTTATCACTTGATATTTTGATATTTTACAATCAAGCCTGAAATTAATAATATTAAACTCTGTTTATTGATACCAAAGAGAATTCAGCTTTTTAATAATAAGTGGGAGCATTCAAATGATACATGGGCATAGGAATATGCTTTTTTTTTTTTTCGGGGGGTGGGGGGCGGTGGGGGACGCAATATTGTTATTATGCCTTTACCTCGAAAATCCAAGGAGTGTAATCACTGAAATGTTAAGAATACTCAATACTGTAATGGTAAGATTTTTTCTTACTTTTCAGGGAGATTCTTCGCTACGGTGTTCTAGTTTCACCAGGTACTGCAGGGCCACTGACATCTATATTGACCTGAGAAATCTCAATAGCAAGGCGCACACTGACAGGTAGCAGACATTTACAATTATNCTCCCGGGCTGCGTATCTAATATTTTTTTGCTTCATGGAAATATCCTTAGTTAAATTCGGATATATAATATGAGACGTTTAAATCGTATGATTCTAGATGGAGTTCCAATGAGCACGTTACGTTCAGTATCAAAGGCAGAGTTTCTGGAAAACTTTTTCCCCCTGGATGATTTTTTAACCAGATTCCAAATCGAGTGTTTTGAATAACCAAAAGAGGGAAAATGTATTATTTGTTGCTGGGACCGACAGAAATTGTTTCTTTTCTTTTTTTCCTTGGTTAATTGAATTTAAATAGAATTATAACGTTATGTTGAATCATTTTCATGCAAAACTTGGCAAAGACAACCGTCCGTTGTTATAATTTCTATGCACTGAATATGTGGGAAAATTAATAAACGCAAAGAGATCAGTCAAACATCTTGTTGTCATATGAGTGAATGCATTCTGGACAAAAGAGAAGCTTTAAGAAAATGCTGCATCAAATCCCAGGAAGAGAGGGCACCTGCTTGTCTTGGCTAGGCGGAAGTAAAGGTCAGAGGTCAACAGGGATATGACAGCGTGCTTTACAGATTCTCTTATCTGACTGATCGTAGATGTTGTCAGGGTAGCCAAAAGGAAAACGGCTCCAAGGTAAGATGCACGCACAGTATTTGTTGGCGTAGTTATGCCGCATTTTTGCTACCCTTTACACATAGTTAAAAGTTTAAAATAACTGTGTTGAAATTGATGTAAGTGGTGAGAAGTTATATGAAAACCCTGGGTTACATTTCACCTTACCACTTTCACAGAGCCCAATGCCAATTGAAAGTGGAACCAACAATATGTTAACGGCCTACGTATATTTTTTAAATTGAGATCAGAGCGGTATTAGAGGGTGTATTTTACTGTTAATTCTCCAATTGAAGCACTAGCTTGGAAAGGACCATTGAGTTACTGTTAATTATGCTTTGGTCCTTGTCAATGTTGACACTTCCCATTTGTATATTAATATTGTTCAGAAATTCAACAATCCACCAAAGTGTTTAAAGTGCATAGGCAAATGTATTTGATGAAGTCAGGCTATATGGTAGGTGCTTCGTGGGTAGATTTTGGCTTGGTAAGACACAGAGCAGGACCGTGAAATTTAATGTTGTTGGCATGAATTAGCACACTAAAATAAAGTGGTTTCCCAGCTGTTGGCACATGCAACATACAAGTAATTTAAAAATCTATCTCATAAAAAAAGGGAGTTAAATGTTTATTTAATCTACAGAGCTGCAGTGATTTATAGAAATTAAGTGAAAATGGTTTCATAATGTATATGGTTATTACCCAAGCCAGCTATAAATCTCCTGCTCTGATTGAGGTACCAAAGTCACATGCAAGTTATAACTATAAAAGCCAAGGCTGTAGGCAAGTCACATTAAGCTGGGAGACATTCACACTCAAGGTTTGCCAGAAATTGGAAAGTTTTAAAAAGTAAAGACAAGTAGTTAAGAACTAAAAATGATAAAAATGATGAAGATGTGAATACTAGTGATGGTACTTAAAATATTTATTAAATAAACTAACCACGATCTTTTGCCTGTTAAAATACTAATTTTGTATAATTGATTAGACTCTATACAGTTTATCCACAAGGAAATGTGAAGGAGGCAAAGCATTTATCATTTGGCTCCTCCCTGCTGTGAAGCAAACTTTTGTATGTACTATTCCAATTTTGTTTTTTTGTTTTATATTTTGCATTACAGTAGAGCATAACAAAAGCTCTGTCTGCCTTTCACTAACTCTGTCCACCCTTTTACCAAGGGGCGTGAGCCTGATCTGCATATGTTAACATGATGAAATAGAGTTTTAAGCCCTCTGTGTGGTTTTCATATTTAAAGATTCCTAAATGAAATCTGAATTATTAATTATAAATATATAAATCAACTTTTCACTCGAATTAAAATCTAGCCCTTGCCATTTTATAAAAAAAAAAAAAGAGGCAAAATTTTTGCTATAACATTAACAGGCCTTGAATATTATGTACTGTGGTGAATGTTTTCCATACTAGTATATGATGTAGGATTGTTTACTCTTTTAAGTAGGAATTTTTTTTTCTTATTTGTTATTTATAACTTTCATTTGTGGTTGTTAGAGGTTCACTAACTCAGATTTATTACAGTACATGTAGTACAGGGGTGCCTGGTGGGTCCCAAGATATTTTCTGACAGCCTTTCAAATGAACTTTGTTGATCCATCCTCCATTTTTGACTGTCTTCTGACAGAAAAAAATTATGGTAGATGCCCATCAATGTAAACTTGAAAAATTCAGACCGCCTTCTAGAAGATCTAGAGTATGACTTCTGTCTGCCCCTGTAGCATTAAGTATGTTTGATGAGCATACATAAGGCCCTCCTTAGCCTGTCTTAGATGAATTATAGAGTAAGGTTCAGACAGGGCGATTACATAAGCTCTTTTTCAGACTGACTAAGGCATACTATAGAATTAGGTGCAGACATCGCGAGTACTGAAGTCCTTTCTTATACTTATTAACCTGGAATACATTATTTCAGTCAGTGTACTTTTTTGTTTATTCTAAGATCATTTCTAAAACTATTTTCCGATATAGGAATGCAGCTGTTCTTTGTTGTCATATTTGTCATGACAGCAGTTAATTTTGTTTCAATTTGAAGGTCATTCTAAAAATTATTTTCAGACATGGGAGTGCAGCTGTTCCTCTTTGTCTTTGTTGTCATGACAATAGTTTCCCGGACAACAGTTTCCCAGACAACAAAAGACACTTGGAGTCGGCTAAATCTGCCAGAGGAACACATTCCGTATTATTTTAGAAACAATCCAAAACTCGGTGAACAGTGCAGCAAGGATGAAGGTTGCCCTTACAAGGTATTATATTTATAGCTTGTTTTATTTTTAATAAGTTTGTTGATCTCATTTTTCTAGCATACTTAAAGTTAATTAAAACGAATTGCAGGGAAAATCGGAAATGTGTATATGAAAATATTAAACATTTTGCTTTCTCACAAATTTATCATGAATTTAATTCTGATTGGGATAAAATTATTCAGCCATTTGGTTAAACTTCAAGTAATTTCATCCTGAAGTTCAGGCCAAGAATTTATATTGGACATGCAATACAATATACAAAGAATGAGATATCTACATCACTCTCGGGCTATCTGTAGTTATTTTGATTAAATATTTACTGTATTATTTTTAATTATTTTTCATCAGATTAACCTTAAAATGGTGATTATAAATAAAACATTTAAAATGCTGTACAGGATATTCAGGATATTCCACCATAGTAAATTATCTATTGACTATATTTGATAGATCTATGGACTAGTCAGTCCTTTGTTGTAAGTGCGGCCTAAGGAACTTGGACAACTAACAGTAAACTCAGATTTTATAAAAATGTATGCTAATTATTCAATATGAGTATTCAAATTAATGTTTTTCGCACATATTCAGTCATGCTGGTAGATTTGCTGTAGGTAAATGTAGGTAATATGCAAAAATATTTCTTCGTGAGTTGAATAAAAAATAGATGCATGTAGCCAGTATGTTAGTGTAAAAAGTGTCTATACTTAGAGTTTGAATTAGGATTCCTTTTGTATACATTGGTTAGTGTTTTGTTCATAACTCATTCATTCATTCATTTATTTATTCATTTTCTCCCTTATTGGTTCATTTTGTTACTCATTCATTTATTTACACATTGAACCCTTTGCTTGAATGATTAATTGCTTGAATGATTCTTTCTTTCTTTTTTTCTTACTTTCTGTTCGTAATTCTAATTCTTAATCCATCCAGTGAGCCATTTAGTTTCTCATTATGCATTCACTAATTCAATCTGTTTCTGTAACATGGCTTGTCATTCCAGGATCTACTGGGGGTGAAGAAATGTTGGGGATATGAGAAGTCGTGTCCAGAGACAGAGAGGATGTCCAACCCGGAGTGTCCAGGAGAGGCACCTGGATGGTCAGTCCAATGGTCATTTTACTGCCCAGTAGTCTGTTAATGAAAATATGATGGCTAGGAGCGTGAATCGTGATGCCAGTATTTTTGGTTAAAAAGATTTACTCCAACAAAAAATAATGAGATGGTCAAGTGCCCATTTTACTGGCAATAAAGAGAACTGTTGCCATATATAGTTACTGTATTTTTCTTAACTAATAAAGAGAATTGACCTCAGCAGAAAACAAAGAAAAAGTTAAATGTTGGATTGGCAAGTGATTAGTTATTTGATCCAAAAAACGTAAGTTTAGACTGTCCAGTTTTTCACATTTTCATCAAGATGTTACTTGTACAGTGCTTGGGAAAGGAAAGTAATGAATATAAAATTAGATTTAGTAATGTTGCAAAAACTTGAATAAATACTTGGTGTATAGTAGCTGCCTGTGGAAAGTAGTATTTGACTGACATATTTTCTGTGCTTGTTTCATTTAATAGTTTCAAGAAACATAATTGATTTTAAACATATATGTATTTTAAGGATACGTCGAAAAGAAGACCAACTGAGTAATTTCTGGAAGCAGGCAGATTTTGGTTATGTTAAGGAAAGACTAGATGAAATGAAAACATTGTGCGAACCACAAAAGAAGGTATGTACAAAAGCATTTTTCTTCACATTTTGTCAATTTTTGTTTTTACACACACACACACACACACACACACACACACACACACACACACTCTTTTCAATTCACTTGCAAAGACTTATTTTTTTATCACTTGATATTTTGATATTTTACAATCAAGCCTGAAATTAATAATATTAAACTCTGTTTATTGATACCAAAGAGAATTCAGCTTTTTTAATAATAAGTGGGAGCATTCAAATGATACATGGGCATAGGAATATGCTTTTTTTTTTTCGGGGGGCGGTGGGGGACGTAATATTGTTATTATGCCTTTACCTCGAAAATCCAAGGAGTGTAATCACTGAAATGTTAAGAATACTCAATACTGTAATGGTAAGATTTTTTCTACCTTTTCAGGGAGATTCTTCGCTACGGTGTTCTAGTTTCACCAGGTACTGCAGGGCCACTGACATCTATATTGACCTGAGAAATCTTAATAGCAAGGCGCACACTGACAGGTAGCAGACATTTACAATTCTAGAAAATTAAACAACAACATTTAAGAACACTAATTTTATGAATAATATGTAAAATTGCCATTAAGTGCTGAAAATGACTTTCAATTATTATGGTTTAAAAAATAGAGCATAAGAATTAATATTTTTTTCAGCAATTAAATAATAAGTATATACTTAAAAAGTGTGGATAACTCATAGAATTTGTTTGTTTGGCTTTTTCCAGGTTTCGCGAATCTGTGTTTAAGCAGGGTGAAATTGGGGGACACTGCAAACTGAATAAAAAGCTTTTGAGGGAACAGTCTGAGCACAAAAGTCCACTACAATCTTGGTAATTAAAAATACAGTTTTTCTAGCAATTCCCATATTTCTCCATGCAGTATTTGTTAAAGGACAGGCCATAATTTGAAATAAAGACAATGATAATGATGGAAATAAAAAAAAATGAAATAAAAAACAGTAAGACATTTGCAGTTTATTTAAAGCCTTCAGACAAAATGTGAATATAATGAGTAGTTACTTTATGTCTAGGCTAACAAACATCTCAATAGAAAAAAAAAAGAATAAATGTAAATAATTAAAATCAGTTTTGAAAAATGTTGGAATTTAGATATTTATAAGCATCTGATCTTTTCAGGTATGCAGAGTTGGAAGAGTATTCACAACTGAATTTCAGACCCATCAAGGATAAAAAATGTGACGTGGTTTTAAAGAAACCTACGTATTTCATGAAGTTAGATGCGGGTAGGTCATGTACATGATTTCTTATATCCTGTTTTACAAAAGAAAATTAGATGGAGAGTTGGTCTTAACTTTTACACCAAAGTTTTGGACTGCTACAACTCGGGATAAATGTGCAGTTCAGTCAGATGGTTCAATACAGAAAGCTTTTAATAATTGCTTTATTTGAAAAGTGAACAAGATACAAACCACGTATATCATTCGTAACCAAAGTTGATCTGCAAATCAAATATGGCCGACCCACTTTAAAGCTTGCTGTGTGATCTCTGCAGGGAATCTGTTCAGTGTGTAGTAGGGGATTTTGCAACAAGCTTTCAAGTGGGTTGGCCTTATTTGATCCGTGGATCGGTTTGCCTGCGAATCAACTAGTTGTGAATGTGACCTAGGTCGCTCTTCACACCATTTGATGATCATGCCTATTTGTGGATGATGCGTTTGTGCTTAGTTGATGGCTTTTTGTGAATATATATGTTGTTTGTTTTGCTCAGGTGTAAATATGTACCACCACTTCTGTGATTTTTTCAACCTTTACATGTCGCAGCACATGAACAACAGTTTTGACACTGATGTTAACATTATTATGTGGGATACAGTAAGTATGGCTCTGCCTGTACGGTAATTTCTCATTTAATTTGTACAGTAGGAAATTCCAACTTGGAATTAATGGTATTTACAAAAAACAATCTGATGTCTCCTTGTACTATTTGATTAGATAATTCTGCCAAATAAGTTTAGTTTGAGTCAGAAGGTAGTTTTGTGAGTAAATATAAAAAACTGTTTTATTAATTATTGTATTAGGAATAAACCAGGTTTTTGAAATTAATAGTTCATGAAAATTACTGATATTTATAATAATGTCAAGTAACCACATTTCCTTTTGTAATTCCACACCATTTATATTTTGTAAATTTAAAGTGCTTTTTGATATCACCTATGATAGATCTATCAAATAGATAGTTAACTTAAAGACAATCTTTTTAGAAATATTTCAATTTTTTTGCAAATTGCATTTGTCCAAATTGCTGAAAATGAAATGGATAATTGTGACAGACCTTCTGTCCATAATTTCTTAATTTTTTAAAGAATAAAAAATCAGCAAATGTAACAAGACATAATTGATTTATTTTTTCCCATAAGTATAAAACTGGCAATTACTTTAAGACTTATGACAAACAGAATATTTTAAAAAACTTGAAGTTTTAAATTCTGTGTGAGCACAATTTTGGTGAAAGAAATTAGAATATCACTGCATAAATTTCAGTTTCCTTCAGTACAGTCACTTCATTTCAGAGTTATATGGGGTATGGTGATTTGTTTGTAGAAACATGGCAAGCTTTCACCTCAAACAAAAATCAGCCTTTTATTCCATTGAATCAGTACAATGGTAAAAAGGTAGGTAGTAATGATGTCTCCTGCCCATTAGCACATCATCTTATGTGGTCCCACAGAATAGCTGTCCAAAGATTACAACTATCTGGCATTTATATTGGTGGCTGTGCAGATATATCAGAATCCATAATTTATAATTTTTAATGCTCAGCTAAGACACCTTGTGCTTGGCTATTGCTCTGAAGCTTTCCCCTTATCCTCAAACATATGAACACCTTGAAATCACCCAAAGCAATGTTGAACGGCTGATCTGTGGGGCACAGATGTGTTTTTGGCCATTTATTTCATGACAAATTGAATCCAAACACACATATTATGAATGCTTCTTCCAGAGCTACTATAGGTATGCAGATTTGCTGATGGAGGTGTGGCCAGTTTTCACGGACCAGCAACGCACGCAGTTTGCTCCAGTTTTACAACTGGGCAATGATTTTAATGGGAAAAGGGTATGACCCCTACACCGTTCCCTCAGACTGATTTTTTTTTTACTAATATTTGATTTTTATTTATTATAGTTGCAGAAGCACAGTTAGTAGTACCTCCATTTTTATGTTCAATTGATATTTCATTTCTCCTGGGTGAGGGATAGAAAATATAAAGCTTGACTGACCACAACCTCACATTGATAGCTTGTTATTGAAACCTGGGTGGTTTGTTAACAATTTTAGGCGAAAGGTGGTAAATCTGGAATGCATGTGGATTGTAGACAATACAGTTTTATGCCTGGAATGATCATGCACGTTGAGTTTTCATGCCAACTGCTAACTCCCTTTCAGCAAATTGTGAAACACTTATTTTAATTTTATTTATCATTATTGTATGTATATATTTTTGAAAATATACAATTCTTATAACTTGTTAGAGAGGGTTATTTATACATATTATTTAATTTGTTAATTGTGTCATTGAGATATTCTCCGTATCCTTCACAAAGCCTAATTACATTTATTTTATGAAATACTTTATGAGTAAGGATTTTCTTGAATAAATTAAGTATAATATCCTTTTAATTATATTATCGTATAATGTTCAATTGTAATATACAGTACACATAAACCATTCTATTGTCCCCTGAACAAAGATTAAGTTGCATATTTACTTCCCTAAGAAAGAAATATATAAGGTATTTCATCCTGTATCTTTAGAGACTAATATACACCAATGTATTTTTGAAAGACAATTAATTTATTTAAAGAAGAATAATTTTGATTTACTTTTATTCATTTAATTGTTCATTTCTAGCTTTGTATCAAGGATGCCATATTTTCTCTCCTTCCACGAATGAGATACGGGTTGTTTTATAATACCCCAATTGTAAGTACTATAACTGCTAATCATTGAAGAATCAGTTTTGAAATTCTGTACCCAAAACTCTTATGTCACATCTTTTTGTTTTCTCTGATTCTGAAAGATGAAGTAAATATTGAATTTACATGTGACAAAAAACGTTTTAGCCTACCACATTAAGACACCATGAATCTAAGAACTTATTGACCCATAGCAGGAATGCCGACAGTACACTGAATAAATTTTTTAAATTGAACTGGCTTAGCTTCAAATTGACTGACTTCGCATTGCAGACTGGTTTAATAAGTTATTTAATACTAATATTTGCAGATTCCTGGTTGTGAAAGAAGCAGCATGTTTAGGGCTTTTTCCCAACATGTGCTTCACAGGCTCAAAATAGTCCAACATGGACCAGTGGTAAGTTGGCTTAATATATACATCAGCTTATTCACATACAATACAATACAATACAATACAATACAATACAATACAATACAATACAATACAATACAATACAATACAATACAATACAATAGCAAATAACCAAAAAATAGTATAAAAATTGAAAATATGTACCATGCTTTATGCATGTCTATGTGGGTGGGGGTGGGGGTGGGGGGGCGGGGGGAATAAAAGTGTCTAAGCAGTTGGGTGTCTGGTGCATCTGTACCTGATGGATGTTAATGCCAAAAAATCAATCATCTTATTGAATTAGATTTTACTGAATATGTAATTTCAGGAAAACAAGATAAGGATAACATTGCTATCAAGGAGTACCAAATATAGAAAGATACTTAATGAAGATGAGGTATGTTGCCATATATTAAAAAAAGTCTCCCACAATAATTTTATTAAATGAATGTGTACACATTGCATGAAATTATATTAATTTTAAAGTTATGGTGCCTCCTAATGCTTGCTGTGATTTCATATAGTTCCCTTTTTGTGTTTTAGCTTATTAAAGCTTTAAAAACTGTGGGTGAATTTGAAGTGAAGAAAGTGGATTTCAAGTACAAAGAAACCCCATTTCTAGATCAGCTTCAGGTACGAAAATTTATTACCTCTCTCTCTCTCTCTCTCTCTCTCTCTCTCTCTCTCTCTCTCTCTCTCTCTCATATGCACTTGCAACACATATTTCAATTAGCAGGAATGAAACATTGAGATATTTAAAAAGAGTCTAAACTATCATTTTAATTATAAATAAAATGCCCAGATTTTCATATGACACAATCAGCATTTTGATCAAGAGCTAAGATTACTTGGAATGAGTATATATTCAGGTTTAAAAAATCTAATTCCAGGTTACCCATAACAGTGACATATTTATTGGAATGCATGGTGCGGGGCTCACGCACATGCTGTTCCAGCCAGACTGGGGCGTGATATTTGAAATGTAAGTTTTGTGGAACAGATGAGGTATCAGAAAGATGTATGCCTTTGGATAAGTATCAAGACTCCTTTGGGAAACAACTGAAATGACTATGCCTTTTAAAGTCATTAGCTCTACTCATTTTCAGCATTATTGTATTGCATTAGTAATTGGTCAAGATCAATTGATAGCACCTGTATGGCATGTACTGCCAGATTTTTTTAGATGTACAAAAATGCCTTTTAGAATATAATAAAAGCAGTTTTTATGCTTAAACTTGACTTGAGCATTGAGATCAAAAAACAACAGAGGAATATTGAAAAAAGAAAAGAAAGCTGAAAGGATAGGTCTTGGTTTTTGTCAGTCTCACAATACTTTACTGACAGAGTTAAAATAGTGCTGTCAACAAGAACCACTTAACAGCACAGAGAGGACTGTCCGTTTCACACATATTAAAAAATGACCTTGGTTCTGTATTTTGTTTCAACTAGCTACAATTGTGAGGACAGTGGATGCTACTATGATCTGGCCAGGCTACGTGGCATTAAGTACATGACATGGGAGAAACAGGACAAACTTGTTCAGGAGGACGAGGTAAATGCAAAACAGTAACATTTGTTGTTAAAAATTATGAGTTTCAGTTTCAGATTTGAATTTAAAAATTTCGAAGACTGTATAAAGAGTTAGAATTTTGATAATAAATATATTGAATATTAGTACTGTAAAGTCGCTATGGGTCAATTCAGAAAAGGGGACTAACTAGTCCGAGGGTCAAATATAGCGACCAACTACAAAGCTTGCCATCAAATCTGCTAATAAACACTGAATAGATATCTCATGGGGAAGTATTCAAGGGGGTGGGCCATATTTGACCCTCGGACTAGTTAGTTCCCTATTCTGAATGGGGCCCATTACTGATAATGAACATTGAATACCACAGGGTCACCATCCCCAGCTTGGTGCTCATGCCAAATTCACAAACTATTCTTTCGATGTTGAGGAGTTTATGCGGAAGATTCAGGAGGCAGCGGCATATATCAAAAACCACCCAGACTTTGTCAGAGCGCGGAGGGCAAAGTATGGAAGTGGAGATAACGCTCAATCAAAAGACGAATTGTGATCTGGGACTGCATATAGGATAGAAAAATTATTGTGTTCCTATATTTATTCATATCAGGGTAAAATAGCAAGCTTTACAAAAGATTTCCATTTGTTTTTTTTTTAAGCCTACTGCTGCTGGTGGTATGGTGGAAGTTCCACAATATCTACAGAATTTCTATGTGAAAAGTTTCACATATCTCAGTATGTTCTTTTCCTCATCATAACTTTTGATTGTAGAATTATGCAGATGGAGAGGATAGATTAGTTATTTTGCAGCTGACTTATATTTTCCAAAAAAAAAAAGNAAAAAACCTAAAATAAAGCAGCCTTTGTAATTGTTTACATTTTTCTGATACAAAGGTACAATACATTCATTTAAATGGACTACCACTAATTGTCACGGAGTCAAAAGAAACCAATATTTTATTCTATTTTATCTATTTATTTATTTATTCATTTCTTTATTTACTTCATTATAATTTTTTTTTTTGTAAATTGACAATCAGGGCCCAGGCTTTACCCCCAATATACTAACCTTAGCAGCAAAGGGGTTACTCCTCAGTAAAGCAGTGATCAGCTGTACAGCATATTTACGAACTTGGCTGGACCGATCCTGAAGCCTCCCTATCACAAGGTCCACCAGGTGGTGCTGCCGAGGCAGAGGGAGGGCCTTCTCGTTCACGACAGTCAGCCAAACCTGAAGGACTTTGCTACGGACGAATGCATGGACGTCATGGATATGGTCCTGTTAAGACAATTTCAATTTTTTACAATTCTATAATTATAAAACAAGAAAATTGCACTTTCAAAACCTGACATATTCAATCATTTGCAAATTACATACAACTAAGCACATTAAGACATAATTAACTTCAGAACAGTGCTTAAGCTTATTGTCTTTGTCTTAAAATTTGGCACTATTTTCGAAATCAAAATTAAGCTGCCAAAAAGTAGTTTTTTTGGGCAACCATCAAATTTGCACTGCTGCTATTTATAACCCCCCCCCTCCACCCCCTAAGAATAAAAATAAAACAAAAAAATTTATTATATCAAACCAAATTCAAACTCACTTCCAACTTATCCAGAAACTGGTCCCTAGTGTTTTTCAAGTTGGCATCCAGGTCTTCTTTGCTGAGTACCTTCACTAGGATCTCCCCAAGTACTCCCAGCACCCCGTTACGCATGGAGTAGGACTGGAAGATAACATGCGAGATTTTGGTACAAAGACAGAACATAACAGAATTTCTGGGGAAGCCCTAACACTCGCCAATTTAGTCAAATGCTAAAACCAACTTAAACTGGCAAAACAAAATAGGGTTGATTTGACTTGTTTTAGTCAAAAAGGCCTAAAAGGAAAATAAATTGATTACAAAACATACCAGGCAGCTGAAAACACATTTGAGAAAAACAACCTTGTGATATCCTTGCAATTAGAAATTACTTCCCCATGTGAGAACTACAAAAAAGTTGAGATGCTGCAGAAAACTCACCTCCCCATCCAACAGTGGTATAAGCACACTGATATTGGGCAGCATAACTTCTGGGATCCTCTCTGCTAGCTCCACCATGAAAGCTGCATAAGCCCGCGTCCCGGAGTTGTCCCGAGCCAGGTCCCGGGGGTCCATCTTGCCAAGCTCCCTGGGGACAAGTGAAAAAAATTGAATGAAACAAAATCAATATCAAAGTTATTTGAACTAAAATAAACATATCAAAGCAACCATCAACACATCACTTACCATCATCAAAACTTTTAATCAAAAGATATTAATGATCCAATTTCAGAAAATTAATGTGGGTAAATGTCTCAAACATTGTGAAATTATGGCGATGCATGTGTGAGTCTAAGCTTATGCATGAGCACACAACTTTTACCTGTTAATTTCACCTACCATCTCCCTTCAACCCCAATAATGTCAGATACCCCAATACACACCCACCCTTACCTCATGATCTCACCCACCACCCCCTTTAACCCCAGCTCCGTCACAAAGAGCTCCAGGCCCTGGGCTAGGGGGCTGGACAGGTGCTCGAAGTGCTGTAACAGCTGAATGATCTTCAAGCTGGCCCCTGAAACAGAACCACAGACATATTACTACAATACAGGAGCCATTGAAATGCGATTGCACAAACAACAATGTAGCTTAAATCTTCATCACCTTGCCTTTTCAAAATTGTAAAAATATTTTGGCTACAAGATACTGTTTTTTTATGTGTTCTGTCTCTCTCTCTCTCTCTCTTTTTTTTTTTTTTTTTTTGCAAACAACAGGAGCAAACGAGCGAGAGAGAGAAAGAGAGGGGGGGGGAGGAATTTGGTTAATTCTCTCGATAATGGCCAAATACATTGATCAGAGGGTCAGAGGGGCCTAAGTGTACTCCCAACAACAACAAGTTCAAAATCCTAATCCATTGTTACACACAATCTACTCACCAAGACCATGATTATATTTCTTGACCATGGTCCCCAGGAGGTGGAAGATGGCGTCTTTGGTGACTCTGTTCTTGGTGACACTGGGGTTCTCCAGCAGCTTGTAGCAGCAGCAGGTGACCAGGCTGGAAGGGAAGTAGAGTCATCTTGAGAAATCACAGGGAACAAGACAGTAAAAGTCCAGGGCCCAGGGATCCTAATGCAGAGCACTAGTTACCCTATGAATAAACCCCCAATCCCTGTGAAATGAAGAGCCTCATTAGCCATTAGCATAATCAGATTTGATGAGTATCTTACTTCACAAACTCTTCCTCTGCCACAGGCGGGTCCCACAATCTGTTCAGGTTGAGCTGCAGCACCTGGAGCAGCGTCTGCACACTCTTCTCACGCTCCGCCTCCCAGTCCCAACCTGTCAGTACTTCCTTCTTCTTTGCCTTGCCACGCCCCTAGTGGGAGGAGTTAGCATACATTTGCATAATTATTTCATTCAAGTATCGGATGATGCACAGTTGTGACCTTATGTTTCATATATTCAGAAGACATCTCTATTAGCTAGACCAAGTATATCGATCCATAAATGCTTATATAATAATAAAATTTGTTTAAAAAAAAAATGAAAGATGTTTGAAACTTTTTTATTTTGCTAATTCATAAGTTTTAGAACAAAATTTTGATTTGGGTGAATTGAAGTTGGCTCACATACACATTTGTGCATAATTATGTGCCCCCAACACATGCATGCACACTGGCACATGCATGCACATACACAACAAACTCAAATTAAAATGTAAGTGTGAGCCAAAACGTAAATATATTAATATACTAGTAAGCACTTTCTCCAACTTCTCTTTCTCTCTCTCTCTCTCTCTCTCTCTCTCTCTCTCTCTCACACACACACACACACACACACACACACACACACGCACGCACACCTTTGTCGCAGCGTTCACGCTGGGTTTGGTTGCCTCAGCCTCAAAACTCTCCACAAACTGGCACAGCAGGTACGTGGTCATCTTCAGGATGTTCAAGTGGTCCAAGCGGTCAGTACTGTCCAGTTCTCCATCCAGGACAGATGGAAGTTGACTGCAGTGTGCTGTCATCACTGGAGAAGATGAGGCAAAAAATAATAATAGAAGTTACAAGTAGGTTTTCTATTCATCTTGGAATTGCAATAAAAATGGCATTTTTTGAGTGAATGGAAAATGACTGACAAAATTTTGCAACTGATTATTGTATCATTTTCAAATGTTAACCACTTATATCTGAAGATTTCTTCCATCCTTTTTTTTTTTTTTTTGTTGTTTTCATTTTCATTTTATTCTACTGATGTTCTAAGAAGATTATGAAACATAAATCCATGAACTATAACTAGTAACCATTTTGCCATAAATAGTTAGACAAGAGCTCAACTTCAACAGAAAAAAAGTGTCATTCTTATAAGCATTGGATGGAGACAAAATGACACATTAAAAAAATAAACAAATCCCAAACCTTTCAGTAAAAGTTCCCACGTTTCTTCCCTCAGTCCAAACTCAATGTTATGCTGATGTCTGTCAATAAAAAATTTAAAATCTTAACACTAATAAGGAAAGCTTTTTTAAAATGTCTCAGGCATAGCATCATGTAAGATAATAAATTTGTGTCAAAATTTATTTTTTCTCACAATATTACAAGTGCCAGTCCAAAATCACACAATATTACAAGTGCCAGTCCAAAATCAAATTTCCAATTTAAACAGCAGCCTATAAAACATCTAACACAATAGCAGATTTTCTTATTACTAGCACAACAAGTCTGTGCTTCTCAATATTTTTGATTCATTTTATATTTCATATTTTATATATATATCACGTATTAAAATGTTGTCCACATGAAAACAAATATATTACAGCAACTTACGTAAGAACACTGAAAAGTGAATCAAAGGCCTCTAACATGGCTCTTGGTCCCTTGGCTCTGAAAGCACTTCTACATTCTGAAAGAGAACACATCCATCAAGACTTGAGTGACTGGAACATCAAATTACAAAACACATTTGCCAAACATTAATATACCATAAAATGGCTTTTCATGGCCTCTTTGTAATGCTGATTGAAGAAATGTTTAGTGGTAAGAATTGTGCATGTGCGCCCGCATGCACATGTGTATGCATGTATTCATGTTTGGGCACGTGACAATGTGTGTGAACGCATGTGTGAGTGAGAGAGAGATACTACTGTAATGTTTGTAATTGTTTATTTCTGTAAAATTTTTTTTTTTAATCAGATAATTAAGATTACCCTGCAGCTTGCCCGGCAGCTGCCTGATACTGTAGACTTCATCTACCACATACTGGCTGGCACCTGTTCTGTTCAACAAGTCATCTTTACACAGTGGCAAGGTGAAATCAAAACTCATCTTGGATGAAGGCAGCTTCTGAAAAAATAAAAACCATATTCAGACAACTGATTATTATTTAATTATATATGTAGGCAGCAATGAGTATTCCAAACGTAAAAAAAAAATCTATTCTCCTTGCCATTTTGGCAATGGGGGTCTAAATGTCGGCTAGTGTTATATAAAATTAAAATGTTTTTAGTAGTCTAGTGCCTTTTTTTAGTATGTGAGCAACTGCCATGGGCAAGATACCTATGACTCTGACTGAAAAATTTCAGAAACTGTACCTTTAGTAATCAATTTGTTTGTTTAAAGGGAAAGCAACCCTTGAATTCAGTGAACTTGCTGTAAAATGAGTTAAGACCCCCCCCCCCTCCCCCGCTCTTATTTGGTGAGACGCGCCTGCCATTCTCCGAGGACTTTATGGAAAATTAAAAAGTGAATAACTGTTAAGTAGTGCTTAACCTAGGAATATTGGAGTCAAGTCTAGCCTAGAGAGAGAGTGAAACAGTCGTAACCAATCTATTGCCACTACCAAACCTCCCTAGGAAGGAACAAACACTAAAATTAGCAAACTGTAATAAGTCACTTCACAATGATTTCCGATTAAAGATGATGATTGTGTCCGATGACATATATTTAGGAATATTTTTCAATTCTGAATATGGCATATAACATGGGCAGTACCTTAGTATTTACCTTTCACAGGAGTAAATCCCTGTTTAAACCTTCCGAAATGGCCGCCTATTTTCGAATGGCCTATTTGATTTATTTTGACCAATCATAATCGAGTTCCGACAGCGGCCCTTATTTTCTGCACGGTGTGCGTGATTCAGTAAGATCTTTTATTTTCATTTCGTCGTTATTAAAAGATTTGATTTTGTGTAACATATATGATTAGTAATGTAGAATACTAGCCGATGTTTTGTAGAAACCATATGCCAACATTTCATGTTAAAAACCAACGTAATGGCCGTATAATTTGCACAATATTTGTCTCTTCATTATCGACAAAGACAAATCACACGACGTATTTTCATTTAATGCTGAAAACTTCCTGCCCGCCATCTTGCTCAAAAGATGTGCGAGGGTATTTGAAAATCATGTGGGAAAACTCGCAAAATATTCGCCTTTTATTTATATCCACGTCTTTATTTCTTGGGGGATATGTTTTAGGACTACATTACACTGTTGTTTTGTGTATAGTATGCCTAATCGGAGCTGTTGCAGTGAAGATCTGGAAAGTCCACCGCGGTTGTCTGCTCGAAGTAAGTACTGTATGTCTTTCATATTGCTGTGGAAATGAAGCAGACCTTGTCAGTGTCAAATGTTACAGTACGGTTTCATCCAAATTACACGGCAAAATTAGTTGAATCAATTGAGTATTTTACCCTCAGAATAAGTGGAATGTTCATGTCACAGCATTATTGGGGCATTCATGTTATGTAGACCATGGAAGTTTATCCAGAGAAAATTTGAAAAATTGCCCTGTTGTCTGTCTCTGTCAGCTAGGCTTTCTATTAAAATAATCTTTTGAATAATCACTCATTGGCAATTTTTTCTATCAGGTTATACTGAAGCCAGCAGAAATGATGAATGGATTCAGCATCAACAAAATGCAACCGAGGTCTCAGACAGAAGGATTTCACAAACTCAAACACTCTTCACCAAAATCAAACTCAAAAATGAACTCTTCCTACAAAGAAAACAGCCACTTTTACAATTCAGATTTATCCCTGAACAATGGGTCCATGGGTCTGCAGTCTCCAATTAGGAGTAGGACCAATACCCCGAATTCAAGTTTTTTATCCTTGAGTTTTCTGAATGCAGTTCCGAGTAGCGGAAGTTTTGTCAGAAGGAGACTGGGACCAGAGGCGGGAAACCCACTTCCTCGAGTGACACGGGTTCACCCTCATGTGGCAAGGTCAGGCAATAGATAAGAAGTTCCTATCTATTAATCTATCTATCCAGTGATCTAACTCTCTGTCTATCTATTTTATTTTATTTTGTTTTGTTTTATTATTATTTTTTTAATGGCAAGACAGATACTGGATGAATTATATAAGTCTTTGGTCTCTTATGTCATAATTTCACATGGCCTTCAAGAAAATATCATTCAGCTATTAAAAAATGTTGACATTTTCTGTAACATTTACAGTGTTTGTTTCTCTGTCAGGTATTCTGCTTTTTTTTTTTCTTTTGTTTTCATAAGTGAACAGATAACACTGTTTTCTGCAGTTGTGAAGATGAATAACTTGAGAGAAATTATGTGGTCAAAAAGTCAGATGTTTCTGAAAAGGGCTAACCATTACCTATGATGCATGTCTTTTGACCTTTTGGTCAATTTTCCACCTTTACACATAAGCCATTTGAAAAACCTATTTCACCTGATTCTTATAATATTACTTAAATTCAATTCCACTTCAGTCCTGCTAGTGTTGACAGACCCAGTGTGACCGCACCCTATTCAGGGAGATCTACATTATTCGAGTCTGTATGTTCGCCGGTGCCGGAGACAACATACCCGGGGCTAGGTGTACCCACAGTGCATCTGAAGCCATATCAGAAGCCACTGTTAAACTTGAGCCGTGTAGCCGAGATGAATGAGAAGAGGTGCACTGTGAGGATAGCTAGCCCCAATCCCGGGGTTTCTCCATGGAGTCATTCTATGTAAGTTGGGGGGGGGGGGGGGGGG